TTGCAGGCAGATCAGATATTTAAAGTGAGAGGCTACCAATGCTTCAGATCTGACAGACAAGGCAGGCGAAAAGGAGGAGTACTCACCCTTGTGAAAAACAGTATCCATCCATGCGAGAAAATGTCTTATATGGATGGAGCTGAGTACCAACTCCTGCAGCTTAAGACAGACAAAGTGGAATTAGAACTCCTTAATTACTACTGTCCCAATGACAAATCGCTAAACCTCAGCTCTGTGCCAGTACCAAACACCAACTTTATTGCAGTTGGAGACTTCAACAGTCATTCACAGAGCTGGGGCTATAACCATCTCGACAATAGGGGTGAAGAGGTGGAAACATGGCAAGATGACCACTCTCTGATCCTGATAAATGCCCCCTCAGATACGCCTACCTTCTACTCCAGAAGGTGGCAGACAACGTCGACCCCAGATCTTGCCTTCTCTACCCCAGATATATCTGGAATGATAAGTAGAGAGGTGGGAGACCAGCTTGGGGGCAGTGACCATCGCCCGATTTTTCTCACTGTCCAGAATGTACCAGTTAATACAGGCCCAGTCATCACAAGATGGAACTACAAGAAAGCCAACTGGGGCCTGTACAGACACAGGACAAGCACATTGTTGTCTGCTCTCAAGGTACAAAATAGGGATATCAATGCTATAGTGCACGATTTCAATAGAAGTATTCTACAAGCTGCAAAAGAAGCAATCCCCAGAGGCTGTCGACACAACTATAGACCGTACTGGTCCAGCACACTCCAGGAATGCCAGAAAACAATGAATCAGACTAGAAAGGATGCAGAATCCCAACCTTCACCTGACAACCACATCAAATGGAAAAGGGCTGTAGCAGTGTTCCAGAGAACTAAACTTGAAGAAAAACGGAAAAGCTGGAGAAATAAAACAGCAGCTCTAAACCTTGATAAAGATGGCAAGAAACTCTGGAGATTACCCAAATCACTCAATGAAGAGAGTTTCTCGCCTAGACAAACAATCACGCTAAGTGATGGTGACAAAATCTTCAGAGGAAAACAAGCTGCAGATTTGTTTGCCAAAACATTCAGTGTTGAAAGCAACCTGACCCTTAATGAGGACCATCAGAGAGAAATAAGGAAAGAAATACAAACAAGCAAACAAACAAATAAGAGACAGACAGATACTCCTGCCTCTATGAGGGAGCCATTTACCATGGGTGAACTACAAAATGCCATCTTTAGGCTTAAGTTAAAAAAGTCTGCAGGTCCGGATGAAATCAGCAACGAAATGCTAATCAACCTGACCTCATCTGCTAAAGTAAAGCTGCTGGAAATTTTCAACATCAGCTGGGAGAAAGGTTTAGTGCCTCAAGTATGGAGAGAAGCCATCACAATACCCATTTTAAAAAAAGGAAAAATTAAGACACAGGCTTCGAGCTATCGCCCAATTAGTCTCACAAGCTGTGTAGGAAAGACATTGGAAAGAATTGTAAATTCAAGACTGAAATGGCACTTAGAATCTGAGCAGATCTTGGTGCCAGAGCAGGCTGGGTTTAGGGAATGTCACAGCATAGAAGATCAAGTCACCTACCTGTCACAAGCTGTAGAGGTTGCCTTCCAAGAGAAGAAAAAGGTCCTGGCGGTATGGGTTGACTTCAAACAAGCTTTTGACAAAGTCTGGAAAGATGGTCTCATTGCAAAACTGAAGAGAAATGGAATCCAAGGAAACATGCTAAAATGGATCCAATCCTTCTTACACAGCAGAAGAACTAGAGTCAGTCTTGATGGCCAGCAGAGTAGAAAAGTGTTACTTCGGCAAGGAGTACCACAGGGAGGAGTTATCTCTCCAACTCTCTTTCTTGTGTATATAAATGATCTGGTGAAAGACCTCCCTACAGGAGTAAAAGCTGCCCTGTATGCAGATGATCTGGCACTCTGGTGTACCGATGAACACACCACAGTGGCAAATATAAGAATGCAGCGAGCAGCAGATCTCTTGATGACATGGGGCAGAAAAATGGCATGTTGCCATCAACACAGACAAAACATCCACAACGCTTTTCTCTCTTTCCACAGGGACAAAGCTGCTAGTATTCACCTAGGAACATCCTTGCTAAAGGAAGAAAGCTTCCCCACTTATCTTGGAGTAACATTTGATAAAAGGCTCACATGGAGCAAACATATAGAAAATGTAGAAGGGAAGGCCAGGAGACGACTAGGCCTACTTAGAAAATTGGCAGGTACAGGATGGGGAGCAAATGGAAAAACCCTAAAGAAAGTTTATAATGGAGCGATAAGACCCCACTTGGAGTTTGGTGCAACAGCATGGTCAACAGCTGCTAATTCCCACCTACAATCGTTAGACAGAGTGCAAAATCAAGCTCTTAGACTCATCACAGGATCCATGAAAACTGCACCAATCCTGAAGATGCAGAAAATACTTGCAATGCAGACATTGTCCTATAGAAGAGACACTAAAACTATGATCCAGATGGAGAAGTTTAATAGTATGCAGTCACACCCAATGAATAAAAGGTTAGATGATCTGGCATTAGGGCGTCTCAAACGTAGCAGCTTTGTCCATCGGGGGAAAAGACTTAGAAGACAGTACCAAGCTGATCTACCTATTAGAACAACACCGCTGAAACCTACCCTATACCCTGTACCTTGGGAGCAAGTCAGTGATACAATACAGATAATGACTTCAGTCAATGGATTCACAACTGGAGATGAGTCCAATGATCTTCAAAAACGAACAGCTGCTCTTAGCATGATTCATGAAAACTATCCCGAACAGTCATGGATACATATTTACACAGATGGATCAGCAACCAGCGCGGTTAAAAATGGGGGTGCTGGAGTCTTTATTACATACCCAGGCAACCACCGCCACACAAAGTGGATACCCACTTGGTAAATTCTGTTCCAACTACACAGCAGAGATTGTAGCACTAGAGCAGGCTGCCGAAATGTTACACAACACCAGTTCTGACTGCCACCAAGTGGTTATATTCACAGATGCGCTTTCAGTGCTTCAAGCCCTCAAGAGTGGCAAACTCCCTCACTTGAGATCTAAACTTGGCAAGGTGGCTGCCCAAAAGTGTACTGTACTCCAGTGGGTGCCATCCCACTGTGGTATACCAGGAAACGAAACCGCAGATAAACTTGCTAAAAAAGGGGCAGAATGTGACCAAGAAGAGAATGCAGTAACATACTATGAGAAGAAAAGGGCCATCCAGGCTATCAGAAGTGAACAGAGTCTGGCCAGAGATGACTACCACTTACTTGACCGGCATGGGCAGGTCATTGTCCTACGTCTCAGGACAGGACATAACAAACTTAACCAGCATATGCACAGGCTTCGTCTAAGTAGTTCACCTTTTTGCCCTTGTGGGCTATGTGTGCAGACTACAGAACATGTCCTGCAAGACTGTCCCTTGTTCAGCCCATTAAGAAAGGAATACTGGCCCAGTGAGTCACCACTGTACACAAAGTTGTATGGGACTAAAAATGAACTCATTAAAACAGTCAAGTTTATCACAAGAACCTGTCTGTCAGTGTAAATCAGAAAGCGAACACAAGAAGAAGAAGAAGAAGCCAATCTTCCTTGATGTTCAGATCTTTCAAGATGTCAGTATTTCTCCTCTTCTTTGTCCAAGATATTCTGAGATTCTATAGCATTTCAGCTCAAAAGCCCCTATACTCTTTCTTAAGGACTGGGAGATAGTCCACGTATGTAGCCACAGGGAAGATGCATGGTCTCAAAATTCCTATTTTAATCTCCTTTCTGGTGCTTAACCAGAGACTTTTAAGGCTGTTTAATCTGTGCATTGCTATGACCATCATTGATATATCAATGACTAATAATACAATTCTGCAAGATTACAGTAACAGGATGGTAATAATTACAATTTTTCCCCATGTGGGTTATGTGGCCCTATTATAGGGAAATCAAGAATAGACCCACTGCCAACCCAAAAGCATGTCGTAAGCGTCAACTAATTGGGAGCTTCCTTCGAAGTCAGAGTGCATCTGCCTGAGAGGCAACTAACCAGCAGTCTGCATACAAATAACTCAGATCTGTAAAATGGATACACACTCAACAATCAGGTTCTGCAATAGGACTGCAGTCCACAAGTGGATGAACAACCAGAACTTTCCGCCGGAGTTTGCAGCTGGTGAACGCGAAGAAGAAGAAAATTACAATTTCCTGTTTCTTTTAAACTACTGGACATAAATTTGCCTAGAAAAACCACACAACAGCCTGGAGCTGTTGGGGTTGGTTCTGCAACGTCCTGTAAAAGATACGCAACAAACCTTAACCCTGTTTCTTTTAAAAGAAAGCATGTACATTTTAACAGTATTCACCAGTGAGTCTCAGTGGTACAGTGGCTAGTTCACTTGCCTGTAAAGTCAATAGTGCAAGTTCAATCCTTAAGAGTGACAGGATTCTACAACCAATACGGCTCAGGGGGTGACCTAACCTTAAAAAATTGGTACCACACAATTTCTTGAATTGTTTAGAAAGGAAAAAAACGTATAACTTTGTACAGATGACCAGGTAGTCTGCTACGACCTGTTGTTAGGTGACAGATTATGGTTGGCTTTTACCAGTTCATTCCATTCCACAAAGTTTTTTTTGGTTTGTTTATGTCCTCTATTTGTTGTTTCTTATATATTTCCTCTAACGACAAAACTACATCACTGGCAAACAATAATGATCAGGAAAGCCGAAACAAGTTTTTTAAAAATTATCCAGGGCTCATCTGGATGAATTCAACACCACAACATTCAGGTCAGGCCAAAACAGCACTAAGGTTAAGCCTGTATTAGCTCCATCTCCCTCCTTAACAGCCAGTGAAGAGTCTGTATACCGATGGTATTCGCTATCTGGTTAACTGCTGGTCTTGCTCCCCCCTCAAGTGGCACCTTGAGCCTGAGGACTCCCAGCTACATCACTCTCCTCAGGTAACAGGGTTTCAGTATTTTCTACTGTGCTTGTTAACTTGTCCCATAGATAAGAGATCACCTCTGCCTTGTGCAGTTGCAGTACACCACCAAGTGGGGGCAGTACACCACCGAGTGGGGGCAGTACACCACCAAGAGGGGGCAGTACACCACCAAGTGAGGACAGTACACCACCGAGTGGGGGCAGTACACCACCGAGTGGGGGCAGTACACCACCGAGTGGGGGCAGTACACCACCGAGTGGGGGCAGTACACCACCGAGTGGGGGCAGTACACCACCAAGTGGGGGCAGTACACCACCAGGTGGGGGCAGTACACCACCAAGTGGAGCCAGTACACCACCAAGTGGGGGCAGTACACCACCAAGTGGGGGCAGTACACCACCAAGAGGGGGCAGTACACCACCAAGAGGGGGCAGTACACTACCAAGTGGGGGCAGTACACTACCAAGAGGGGGCAGTACACCACCAAGTGGGGGCAGTACACCACCAGGTGGGGGCAGTACACCACCAGGTGGGGGCAGTACACTACCAAGTGGGGGCAGTACACCACCAAGTGGGGGCAGTACACTACCAAGAGGGGGCAGTACACCACCAGGTGGGGGCAGTACACTACCAAGTGGGGCCAGCGCAGCCAAACTGACTGCCTGCTCATTCCCAAACACGACAACATGACCCAGGCAAAAAAACTTTAGAAAAGAGTAACAGAACACAGCCTAATATATTATAAATGCAGACAAATGAATCTGTAGTTTAATGATGTCATGACTATAACACAAATCTGCAAACCTCCTGATGTTTAACCTCCCCTTGTGCTCAAAGACACTCTGGTCCTCAACTGCTGCACAATCTCAATAGCTGCAGTAAACTGACATTCTGTCATAATACTTAAAACTGGGACAAGAACATGAAATAGCCTATCTGCAGAAAAACTGAACAGACATGAAGCAGCAATCCACCATAAAACTCAACACTGTTCTGTATGGGTGAATAAATTAACAGAAGAGGAACCCTTGAGGCAGTTAAATATTATATATTGATAAAGTAACAAAAAAAAGTATTGATCTGCACTCTGTATGGGTGATGCTTATATAAGAATAATGATGTATCACCACATTTTGATATATATCAAACATGGGCCAGTTTAACTGCCCACACCTAATGTGATACAGTTATGTTACAAAGGCCTCACAATGAAAAGATAACTATTCCAGCAGCAAGTGGTTCTTTTCTAGCTTTCAGTCAGCCAAACTAAACAGACAGCAAAGCACATCAGTAAAGATAAAACAGTCAAAATACTAGACACAGTATCAATAAACATCAAGGTAGCCAGTCACATCCCATTCTAGTATCAATAAACATATCAAGATAGCCAGTCATATTCCCATCCATCCATTAGTGACCTCTTATGACATGCATGGTAGGCTAGTCTTTTTTTTGTTTTTGAATGTGCCCAGAAACACAATCAGACATTGTTAGTTTGCTGAAAGTTAAAGAACAACGTGAATGTTTTCAAGACAGAAAAATACACTGCTGCCAGAGATTCCAGTTTAATGTCGAGAAGACCGACCGACTTGACTGCACTTGGGTTTTATTTCATATGGCTTGACCTCTTTCTGCAAAACAGTGATCTGCCTGCCTGCAAAGAACACTAAATATAGCATGAACTTTGTAGCTCCAGCGGAAAACCCCAGGAATCTCAGACAAATTACACCCTGTGAACAGAATGAAAGAGTCGGTGAAACAAAGCCACAGCTTTCAGAGCACGATGCAATCAGTAATGAAGCCTCTGAGTAAGCTAATGCACCATTCAAACTGCTCATCATTAAATACAGTCCCTTCAAACTGCTCACCATTAAATACAGTCCCTTCAAACAGCTCACCATTAAATACAGCCCTTCAAACTGCTCACCATCAAATACAGTCCCTTCAAACGGCTCACCATCAAATACAGTCCCTTCAAACTGCTCACCATCAAATACAGTCCCTTCAAACTGCTCACCATTAAATACAGTCCCTTCAAACGGCTCACCATCAAATACAGTCCCTTCAAACTGCTCACCATCAAATACAGTCCCTTCAAACTGCTCACCATTAAATACAGTCCCTTCAAACAGCTCACCATTAAATACAGTCCCTTCAAACTGCTCACCATCAAATACAGTCCCTTCAAACTGCTCACCATTAAATACAGTCCCTTCAAACTGCTCACCATGTAATACAGTCCCTGACTCTAATCTTGCTTATTTTAATGTTTTTACAGTCTCTTTGGTCCCATCTATAAATAGCAGGTATCTCATTCCTGTCTTCTTCAATTATTTTGTCCTGGCCTTTTGTCTTTTCCTCTTGTTCTTGTGTATATGTACTGTTATATTCTGCCTTCTTACTTTTATTTCAATCATTATATAAGGTTAAGGTTAGTTGCGTATCCTTTACAGGACGTTGTAGGCAGAACCAACCCCAGCAGCCCCTGGCTGTTGTGTGGTTTCTCTAGGCAAATTTACCTCCAGCAGTCTGCCATTTCTTCCTGGACGGTTGCCCCCCTGATACCACTGTTGAAACCAACGCAAGGCCCGCAGCTGGGATCCACCCGGCACCCCGGCATTACGAAGCGTTCGCATCGACTTAGCCACAGAGCCGACCAATATATAAGACAAAGTGTAAATTTTTTACAGTTTCTGATTGCATGGCCAGGCAATCTGATAACAAAAGCCAAGACAATTAACAATACACAAAAAATAACTGTCAGGAGATAATAACTAATCGGATATGTGAATATATTATTAAGAAAACATGACATCACCAGAGAAAACAAAATGATCTGGTTTTAATCACCTTCTTCAGTTCTCTCAGAAATTATTAATCATATCTAAATATTTCATTAAGAGAACAAACAGTAGAAATAACAATATACCAATTATTGATGAACAAAAGTAAAAACAATAAATGCTTGAAACCAGTGAATCAAAACATACACAATTAATATCAAGTTTACAAAAGATGTTAAAAATCATTACATTTATCAAAGCTTGATGAAGTAATACAAACACTAAATACACATGAATTATGAGTACATTTTTGTGTGCATCTTCCACAAATGATGGTGCTCATGACAAACAAAAGTTATCAAAGTAAAACATTAACTGTGTTTGTTCCAAGTAGCACCCTTCAGGAACACTATAAAAGGGTTCAAGTCCTTGTGTAAGAATGAGGTTTTCTGCTCAGTCTTCTGAATGCTGTATGATTTTTAACTCCTCTACCTGTAAAACACTGATCAATTGCTACCTATGACCAAGACACTGACTTTTTATGGATGTGACGTGGTGTGTGTTTGGTACAGAGAAAAGATTAGGATAATTACTTTTAGGCCAGTTAGTATTAATACAATCTGACTTAACATATGACAAGATGCTTTTAAAGAAAGCAGGCTGAAAATGCTCTCTGCTTTTTCACATCACTAACATGACTTTTCTGTACAGAGCATAGGTTGAGAAAATGAAAGGTGTTTATTTTAACAGATCTGGTGTTTAATGAGTGGCCGTGTGTAGAGCAATGGTGAGAAAATAAAATGTGTTTGTGACAGTGTTCAAAGAGATCTGGTGTTTAGTTTGTGACAGTGTTAAAACAGATCTGGTGTTTAATGAATGGCTGTGTATAGAGCAAGGTTTGAGAAAATAAAATGTGTTTGTGACACTTAACAAACAGCTGGCGTTTAATGAGTGGCTCTGTATACAACAAAGGTTGAGAAAATGACATGTGTTTGGGACACTGTTAACAAACAGATCATGTTTAATGAGTGGCTCTGTATACATCAAAGGTTGAGAAAATGAAATGTGTTTGGGACACTGTTAACAAGCAGATCATGTTTAATTAGTGGCTCTGTATACATCAAAGGTTGAGAAAATGACATGTGTTTGGGACACTGTTAACAAACATATCATGTTTAATTAGTGGCTCTGCATACATCAAAGGTTGAGAAAATGACATGTGTTTGGGACACTGTTAACAAACAGATCATGTTTAATGAGTGGCTCTGTATACATCAAAGGTTGAGAAAATGACATGTGTTTGGGACACTGTTAACAAACAGCTGGTGTTTAATGAGTGGCTCTGTATACATTAAAGGTTGAGAAAATGACATGTGTTTGGACACTGTTAACAAACAGATCATGTTTAATTAGTGGCTCTATATACAGACTCAGCCAATAAAATGACACATGCTTGGTCATGGCCTTAATTAATTTTATTGAGCTTCTTAGTATCAAGCAGTTAAAAAAAAATACACAACCAGTTCTGGTTTCTGTCAGCTGTCTCCTTGTGTGATGAAGTAAACACATACAGTTGTCAACAGTCCTAACACCACAATCATCGCTGTGGGGTCTATATACTAGAGATGTTAATTTCAAGCTGACATCTGTGTTAAGGAAAATTCAACCTGGGAAATGATTCCTTACATAAGTGACATCCACTAGTTAAATAATATCAAAGATGTCTACATTTAAAAAAAAACAATCTGAACAAATTAATGCTTGGATAGTAGTTAGCAAACAGATAGATACACTTCTTCTTCTTCTTAGTGTTCACAGGCTGTAATCTCAGAGGAAAAGTTATGGTTGTTTGTCTATTTCTGGACTTTAGTCTTGTTCCAGATCTTTAATTTTGTGTGCACAACCATTTTACAGATCTGGCTTACATATATGCAGAGTGCTGGTTCCTCACCACCGAGGCAGATGTGTTCTAGTTTCAGAGAAAAAAAATCCTCAAGTCACCTTTTACAGCAGCACGGGAGTGCAAATATTTCTCTTCTTCAAAAACATGGAACCCTGGAAACCACTTGGGAAAAAATACACTGATTAGATAATGTTAATAAATGAATAAGAAAAACCATAGTAGAGATTCTTCTTCAGCATTTGTATCTAAAAGGGTAGTTGTCATATTGTGTTGTAGTTTACAGCTAGGTTGCAATATCTGTGCCTTTCAGCCCAACTTATTTCACTCTCAGCAAACCCCTAATCTGATGCCTTTATAACATGCTTGTAGGGTGCCTATTCCCCCCCCCCCCCACCCCACTCCCGTGCTCATAAACCCATACAGGAATTGAGAGAGACTGGAGTGCTTGCAAGACATATGTAGATACTTCCTGTTGTGTGAGGTAAGGATGGGTGAGAGGGATTAGATGCACAAAGTAAGAGATGGAAATGCAGACACAAGAGCTTGGTCTCACAAAACACTGTGAGGTGCTGAAGGAATGTGGGGGTGTGCACCAATGCTCTCCATCATGGTGGAAGTAAAGCGAGTGAGAGGTGTGTGCATGACATCATCATCATGTAGCAGGTCCTTTGCTGAACGTTCTCTCATCAGGGTCTGCCTGAAAGAAACTCGCCAGCTCTCCCGCCTCATACACTTTCATGCTCAAGGAGTTAATTATAGCCTGTGCCCATCTATATATATAAAAATCAATGTTTGTGTGTCTGTTTATTATCTATAGACTCGGAAACTACTGAAACGATTTTGCTGAAATTTTCAGGATATGTTTGTTTTGATACTGGATTTTTACCCATCATGGTTTGAAATTCTACCTGTCTTTGTTTGAGATAGGTGACGACATTTGTTGGAAAAATCTTCGAAACTAATATTATAATTTAGTGACATTTAATTAAAGCCACTTTCGTAAATGCGCATGTCCAGTAGTTGGAACGCAAGACTCACCATTCGCCGGCGAGATACGTACAGCCAACGCCTTCTCTAATAAATAGAGTAGGCCGTGGTACAGCAAACAAGACTATCTCTATATCTGTGCAGGCAATGATTGCGACAATAACCATATTAGACACGATTTATATTTTCTGTCTTTTCAGACAACCTTCTATGAGTTGGAGAGTAGCCGATGGATTTGAAAGGGGGGGGGGGGGGGGCATCAAGGACTATCTCAACGTCTGCGCAGACAATGATTGCAACATTAACCGTGTTAGACACGTGCGATGTCTATTGTTGTGTCGTTTCAATAATATATATGGAATATCTGTCTATGAGAAAACAATTGCCTGCAGTTTTGTAAAAGTAAAGTAAGTAAAGGACCCTTTTCCACACCTTAAGGCGTATAGGGCATATAGAGCTAGACCTGTATTTTTATAGACCAATCGGTAAAAGATGGGTGATGTGGTCAGTATCACGCCGGCCGCCTTCACTTTCCCGGGACTGCACCCGGTACCCACTCAAGGCTGGATCGACATGGGAACCAAGATCATTTTTTTTTAAAAAGTCCGGCTCCACCACGGAGTGAACCCATGACTTTCCGATCCGCGGCAAGCGTCTAGCCGCTCGGCTGCGGCGACTCCCCCTGCAGTTTTGAGTTGTGTTATAATCGGGACACAGTAGTAGGGACACACATCTCAAACAATTTTGTTCACTTTTCGTTGCTCCGGTGGAGTGGTTGCTTGGCCGAATGGTAAGAACACTGGGCTCCCGTGCGGGAGACCAGGTTTCAAATCCGCAGTACATTTTTTTAACCCATTTTTTTTCACCTGCACTGTCGTGGCGACAGCACTAACAATGTGGCCCTTAATACTGAAAAAAAAAATTAATTAAATCTGACCATTTTGCATACTTATGATTTCATTTCAAACTTTTCGATTGCATGGTTACACTGAATTTTCATAGATTTCCATTTTTTTTTCATTTAGATTTAATTATTTCATCTGCATTGGATTTTAAGCTGTGCTGTTTACCATAACGTTCATTTCCTAATTATGGTGTATTTTTCCTGTTTTCATTGCTTTTCACTTAGTCTTTCTTTTCTCCCAACTACTGCGATGAGGGAAAGAGTAGTCGGTGAATTGGGGGGGGGGGGGGGGGGGGGGGGGGCACAAACTGTTTACTGAGAGAGCTTTAGGTCACAGTAACTGCCTTACCCACTCAAAGTAGCAGCAGCAGTAGTAGTTGTGGTTAGGGGGTTACATCATAGTGCTGTCATGCCGGAGACCGCCGGTAAGGTTATGACGTTCTTCTGTCGGTGGAGCAAAATTATACATCCTGACCTGACCAGTCCGTGGCTACAGCACTAGCCATGCGGCGCCAAATCTTCTGGCTCACAATTCTTTGTGTTATTCCGATGGTAAAACAGATGGCAGTGACATTATTTTAGCTATTGTGGTGGTGGTCGTGGAAGTAGTTGTACTGGTACTTGAAGGATGGTGTGGTAAATATTACACTAGTCCCATTTACTACCTATTACAATTCTCGCTCCCCATTTTAGTCCGGATAGACAGGGATGTCAATGTCAGTAAAAAAAAAAAAAAAATTGCTAGGTGATGATTTTCAAATCCTTCGAAGAGCGAGAGAGCAGTAGTCGGTGGATGGGGGGAGGGGAGGGTGTGATGACTGAAATTGTTAACTTAAAGAGCTTAACACATGATTTTAAAGATCTCATTACTTAATTTTTTTATATTTTACTAACGCTACCTCCGCTATTCTAATTCTTCTACAACTTATTTTGTTTTTTTACAAGTACAGTAGTAGCTTTACTTTCGTCTCCTATAAAAATACAAACAGCTTTAGCATGTGATAACCAAATAACCATTTTTGTTACTGTACTAATAACACAATTTAAACGACCACTAATATAAAGACACAATTATATGGTGCGTGTTCTAAAGTTGGAAAACCAGACTATCTCTATATCTGTGCAGACATTAACTATATTAGACATGTGCGATTTCTATTGTCTTTCTTTTCCAAAAACCTTTGATGCAGGAGAGAGTAGTAGGTGGTGGTGGGGGGTGGGGATCGAAGACTATATATCTGAGCAGACAATGATTGCGACAGTAACCATATTAGACACGTGCGATTTCTATTTTCTCTCTTTTCCATTTAGCCAAACTATGCCACAGCAACGCGTGGCCAGATGCAGCTAGTCTATTATAAATGAAGTGTTAACTTTTCCCAATCCGTGACCAATACATGAGTTAAATTTTCGTTTGCCATTATGACTTCAATGTTTAATTTAACAGTCACATTGGCGGCCTGAGTTATTGTGAATTTATTTATTTTTTGCAACAGTAAAAGTAAATTCCTGCTTAAAATTATATGCCTTTGAATACTGCTTCCTATTACTTCTCTTAAAAGCGTAATTAAAAAAAATTATGTTTTGCTGTTATCATCCTTGAAACTACATTTCTTTATATGTTTGGGACAATATATTTTTGCCAGTCTCCCAAATTGTTAAATACTGGTGTTAATATTACAGGGAAAGCCTCCGGTGCACTTGGTGGAAATTACTAAAGTACGACAGTGGTGGAAACAAAGATGAAGTATAAGATGGAATATTTTGTATTCAGTTTTGGTTAGATTCCTCATTTCCACCAGGCCTACATAAAGGGGCAGTGGTGAAGACCGAGATGAGGTAAAGGATGGGAGAAAAAGCTTTTGTTCACTGTTACGGGTGAAGCCGGGCAATTAAATCTAGTGTTTTGATAACAGAAAGGAAAATACATGTTTACTTTTCTATTACCAGACCTTTTTATATCAGCTGCTTGTAAGAAGGAAAAACCCAGAAATTAAATCACACTTTGGCTATCCTCCGAATAACGGGCTCAAAAACACATCTCCTGCAGCTTAGCTTGTGAGTCCTAGCCATCTAGTTTAGCCCCAATCCACGCCGCATGAGAGGCGTGGGGGATACTCTCAGCGGTGACGGTACTCGGAAAACCGCAAATTAGATCGCCAGAAGTGCGCAATTGACACGTGACTGAGGCCCTGTTTTTGGCAGGCATTGGCCGCCATCTTTTGTGCCCCTTATTCGGAGGATAGCCCACACTTTCATAAGAGGAAAAAGAATTCATGACTTTCCCACTATCTGATCACACACTTCCACAAAAGAGGCTCAAAGATCAATATAAAAGGATACAATTCGTAGTCCACGCTCTGCAGGGTCTATCAGCATGACTCCTCGTGACATATATATGTTCTGATTTTGTTCCTCAATGTAACGCCGCACATTTTTGAGAGTCTTTAAAACAAAACAAGTGAAACAGTACATTAACAGATGCATGAAAATTTCAAAATAGAAGCTTAGTAGATTGTACAATAATCTCAAATGTCTTAATGTTGGGTGCTTTAACAGTTGATAAGACACAGGATGTAAAATACAGGCCTCTTAGTTCTTTAAAGAAAAATAAGATGGTGATATATGGGGATATTCTAAGGTGAAAAACCCCCACACAAATATACTTTACAAAACATGCACTCAAACAGGAAATGAATAACTGCTAAATATTTAATAATCAATTGCTAATATAGCCAACAGAACAAATTTAATCTGCAAATAACAGAAATGATTATTTTATTAAGTTTAAGCTGGGCAGCGACTGGCTGAATGGTTTGACAGATCCACTGCTCTTCAACAAGCACGTCGTAAAAGTGTGTTAATTAGGGGTGTTCCCTTCTAAGCCAAAGAAGAAGAATAGATTGAATGCTTTTTTTTATATATTTTAAATAAATACTGTGAAGAGAAATTAACAATGAAGGATGAACATGAACACAAATTCCTCAACAGAAGGACAGATTAATGTGTACAATATAATTACATTTAACTCACTTTTTCATAAAGAGTATCCATGCACATCAAGGAAATGTAAGCTGTTAAACATGCAAAACAGCTCTCACAGCAGGTCCGGGATCCAAGGCTCTCGGCTTCAGCAAACATTTCATTGATTTTGTTGATTGTTGTCTCGTAAATAGTTCTGTCAATCTGAAAAATGGACATAACCAGCACTGTAACTAGAGACACAATTATTATTACAAGCAGTGTACAGAAACTGGAGGCGGAGACCAAACAGCAAACATCCAGATGACCCAATCAACAAATTAAAAGAAGGCAGTACACCACAACTTTGCCATTAAGGTCACTGCATACTTTACGCATACATGCACATGATGAAGACTGCACAATCCAAACAGTTTTCCTGCCAAACCACACTCCAAACACATGAGCATATACTGCTGAATTGCCCCTTAAAGCAAAACCTGGCCAGGAGGAACAGGTATCCAGGACATACTTTTGTGAACCCTTGGAGACTTGCTGTTGATGTGCCGGTTCACAGAGGCAACACAACAGATAACCTGAGCATATGAAATTGCTTGCAAAGAAGAAGAGAAGATACATTTATAACCCGGTCTCCTAATCATACTGTAATACCGAGTCCTGTGTTACTCTGATTTTTCAGCAGAAATAAATCAAACAAACATCAGCAAACTGAACAGGAATGTATTTATTTAAAGTTAGTGTCCTTTTCTAATTTGACATATAAAGAATACTGATGCATTTGGGGACTGTTTCTGAGATATAAATATTTCATTAAGGTGAACACACACACAGATTGTCTTACTCTTCCTTCTAGTTCTGGTGGGTATCGTGTTTGAAATTTCACTGATATTCCATCAGAAAAATCTCTCTGGACAAATACTTTTGTGTGAGGTGACCGCGGCGTATCCATTTTAGCTTTAAAAAAAAAAAACTAAGGCAGACAAGACTTTGCTGTAGTCACTGAAAAGTCAAAAAATTAGTAAGTATTAGTAAAATGACCATCTTACCAAAATGAAAAAAAAAAGGACAGATAAATGTCTTGGAAATCATGGATGCAATCAATTCATCAGCAAACAATAAGGTAGCAGGTGATAATGTTATTAGCAAACAATCAGGTAGCAGGTGATGATGTTAAAAGGAAACATGATTGATTTTATTTTATTCAAGAACCGACATCACAGCACTCGGGGCATTCCCATAAGCACTCCGTCCCAATCTTCAGCAGCCAGGGAAGAGTTCCAATACTAATGGTGCTAGTAGCATTCGATTAAACGTCCGTCCTACCTTTCCTCTGAGCCTTGAGCATCTTCCAGAACCTCCCGTCACTCCCTCCTGCATCAATCTCACCAGACTGTGAGACTGCTCCTCCGAACTGTACATCCTCTCCCACAAGGCACTAACCACGTTTGCCTTATCATGCATCAGTATTCCACCAAGCTGTGCAGAGCCAGCCAGTCTGTTCGCCTGTTCATTTCCCAACACACCAGTGTGACCTGGTGAAAAAATCCAGACAATATTCCTCACCCGTGTCCTCCGCAGAGAGGCATGCCACTCTGCACGAAGCATGCCTGTCCTGATCTTCCTCAGCATGCTTTCTGAGTCAGTTACAATCATGTTCTCTAGCCAGCGGAAAGCTGCAGTGACCACCTCCACCTGCACCTCCATTCTTAAGCTGGATGTTGTGGTATCATATGCTAGGCTCTGCTGCACCAAATGTCGACCATTAACTTTTTCTACGAAACCCCAAACACTTCTTTTGCCTCTTGACACTTGACAGTCTGTGTAAATGATCAAATCTTCTGACGGATCAACATCACAGCAGAAGGGTAGTAACCCATAAGTGCTCCGTTCTACTTCTGACTCAAGCATGAGTTCGAAGAATCTCAGTGCAGTGCACATACAATTGTTGTATCTAGAAATGATCATAACATCAGCAGAAATTAGAACAAGAATCACCATGGAAAAAGTAGCTTTTGGCAAAATTGCAAAAGATTTTCACCAATAAAAAGATGCCCATTTTAAATTTCAAGTTTGAACAGCGGATCAACATCATTGCACGGGTAGTAACCCATAAGTGCTCCGTTATTCTTTAAGTGTGAGTCTGAAGAAGCTCAGCACAGTGCACCAGCGAGGATCCTGAAATACTTTGGGCAGATTTTTAACTCAAAATTTTGCCTTGGTAGCGCCGTTAGGCTACTCCTTTCAATTTCCAACTGCCAAGGGATCTTTTATGTGTGTAACAATACATACGGCATTCGATTTTACTACCCAGAGACCAGGGGAAATTATTAGATGTCCACGTGAAAAAAATCCCAACCTTCACCGGGGCTTGAACCTGGTGGTCCAGCACTTGAGGCTGAGGCCATGCAGCCCCCTTACCAAGTTCGCGAGTCCATTCCATCTCATATGTTCACAAAATATTGACTGTCTAAGTCTAATTGTTATAAAAAGTTTATGACTTTCTTTGATGAGGACTGTTTTATTTGTTTCTCTGTCCTTCAGTGATATTCTTTGCATTCTTCTCAGAAACCACATCTCTACTTTGAGTAAATGTTTTTCAGCTTGTTGGCTTAATGTCCATGTTTCACATGCATTTAACAATACAGATTCTACATAGCATTTTAACACTCTTTTTCTCACTGCAATAGGCATCTCCTGAGGGGGGCTGTGTGGTCTCGAGGCATGGTGTCCGCCTTGAGTGCTAGAGGTTTTGGGTTCAATCCCCGGTAAGGGTTGGGATTTTTCATGTGGACTTGGACTTCTAGTAATTCCCTGTGGTCTCTGGGTAGTAAGAACGGATGCTCGTATTTACTGCTGCGCATACAAAAAATCCCTTGGCAGTTGGAAATCGAAAAAAGTAGCCTAACGACGCTGCCCAGGCAACATTTTGAGTTAAAAATCTACCTTAATTAGTTCAGGATCCTCGCCGGTGCTACAGAGCCTGTGCCCTGTGCTGAGCTTCTTCAGATTCAGACTTAAAGAAGATTGGAGCACTTATGGGTTACTACCCGCATGCCATGATTTTGATCCGTTCCATTCTTGTTATAATTTCTGCTGATGTTATGAACATTTCTAGATAAGACTGACTTGCTTACAAATTTTTATTGAGTGTACCTGTTCTTGTATGTGTGTTGCACTGTTCCTTTGCTATGTAAAATACTAATTTCATTACAATGCCTTCTGGCCCAATTTGGAGAACTAAGCATGGCAGAATATTTAGTTTAAGTTATATTTGCTTCTGACAGTGGATTGCTATTGCATTTTCCACATATGGATGAAAGTCTACGGTTTTGCTGCCTAAGCTACTGAGTTAGGTGTTTGGTGCTGCAATGTGAGCTATTTATTTGTTATTTTTTTTCATTTGGAATGCTTTCCATCTGTGCAGCGGCTTAGTCATGGTATCCAGTATGGCAGGTAGCCACATTATGTTACGGACATTTCATTAGATTTTGACTGGCCCAGGAACGGAGCAAGATTGGGGTGACCTGACAGTAGTGAAGTTTATACCTCAACTAAGACAAAGACTAAATCATTAGCATGAAACTATGTATTCTCACATGCTCAAGTATCTTAGTATCCATACAATTAATTAGCACTGAACATCTTCTTGTGTTAAGATATCTAGATGCCAGAAGATTTCTTCAGTTACAGTATTTACAGTAAGATTGTCAAGAATTTTTACTTTAAGTGTTTCCAGGTTTTAGTCTCTCTATCCTTCTGTAAGTAAATATTTCTAGTTGGCTTATGTCCCAGTGAAACTGTGCTTCTTGACTTTACCTTCATTAGCAAAATAACAATTGGCTCTCCTCCGAATAACGGTCCTAAATTATCTACGCAGAAAATGAACCCTAACAGAGCCTCATTACGTCCTGACCTACAAAGATTTAAAAGTTGTAACTCGGAAAATATAAGGAACGAAAAGTATGAGGAAAATGGGGGAAGTCTACTACTTACCGATAATGAAATCCTTTATATGCGAAAATTGTGGCACAGAAGTTGTAAATAGTGCCCAAATATGTGTTCTTTCTGGCTGTGCCACATTGCAACTCCGCCAAATATAGCGAGATGGTAAATGCGATGTTTTTATTTCTCAACGTTGCTGTAGATTCGCCAAGCGCCAGTCACAATTCTCGTTCCGGGTAACACGTGATCAGCACTGACGCGTTCTAATGTACCCGCATCTCGGGACAACTTCAAACCAACAGCGGCCACTATGGCGCTCCACTAGCCCGACCACGCAGTGACCGTGGCGAATGCGACCACGCTGGTAGTGCCGACAGAAGAAGTAACTCATGTAAATTGTAAGACTTTTTTTCCGGCGACTATAGTGCCACATCCGGGCTAAACCAGATGGCTAGGACTAACAAGCAAATACAATGGAGGAAGCTGGAGGAGAAGTGGTAGCTGCTGCTCGTGAGTCCCAGCCATCTAGTTTAGCCCCTTCCGTGCCACGCGTAGCAGCGCGGGGATATTCTCGGAGGTGGCAATATAGTCGCCGGAAAGTGGTCCGCAACTTACATAAAAGTGAGGCCCTGCCGTAGGATAGCCCTATCGGGTGTATTTTTGCGTTTCGGTAATTTTCCGTCCATAGTTAATCCTAGTTTTGCCGCTGTTTACTCGTAAAAAAATCCGTTGCGTTTCGCAAAAATTTCGTGCGCAATTGTTCCTACTTTTCACGCAGTTGATTCGCCGCAAAAGAAATGCGAATTTTAGATATGACTGAAGCTCTGTTAGGGTTCATTTTCTGGGTAGATAATTTAGGACCGTTATTCGGAGGAGAGCCTAACAATTATAATGAATAATAATAATGAAAATGAATGGATTTAATTTTTAAATAAATACAGTATGAGTTCATAACTTCTTTTCAATTTTATAATATTATTTATAATTTTACAGAACGTAAAAAGTTAAATAAATTTTTAAAAATTAATTGTATCAACAATGTTGACAACTGACTAGAAGTAGTAGTAGTCCAGTAGCAGTAGCTAAAGATGTCAAGACAGATCAGAGGTGCTGTTCTTGGTTCCGATCTAGCTGAGAACGTTCTGTTGTTTGTTTATTACAAAGTTTAATACATTAATTAATTATTATTATTAAATGTGGATTTTTAAAATTAACTCCTGTGATTTATTTAAACACAAGAACTTAAATTTTAAATGTAGACATACGTGAGAACAAAGTATGAAGTTAACCCTCTCTGTGTCTGCTGAAATGGTAATTTCCTGATCAGCTTCCGTTATCTTTTTTTCGTTTACGTCGCCATCTTGAATTAAGTAGAAGTTCATTGGCCGCAGTAACGAAAGATTTGGCTAATTCCCGAAGCTGACAGAAACTTTTCTGAGATGGCGTTCGAATTCCAAATGCTTGGAGTTCCGAACTAATTTTTCCTATTTAAAATTAAAGAAACAAAATTAAACTGTTCCAGGGTCCATCATACTCAAACTTTAAAATGCATTTTCCGAATACGGTACACCGTGATGATCATATTCATCGGTTAGTTGCCTATCGTTTACATTAATCAAGTAACAGAAAGTATTGTTTACAGGACGTTGAACAACTTATCCCGGCATTTTTTTGGGCTGTTATGGTTTATTTAGGCAAATTTTACATTCAGTAGTTAGCCATTGCTACTGAACGGTCAAATCTTGGTACCACTATAAAAAACAACGCAATACAAACCGTCCGCAGCTGGGATTGAACTCGACAACCCGGCATTATAAAAGCGCGTTTGCAAGCCTAAGCCACAGACGTGGACTTATTTATTGGACCTAGATCAAAATAGTGACACATCACATAGAAGTATGAGGAGGAAGGGCGGATGTAGAGAGATTATTGTTTTGAAGATGAGCACCCTTCCATAATAACACCAGAATCCTTTCTGGTGCATCATATCATAGTCGTTAACCACTTGCAGAGGGGTTGGGGTCATTAGTATTTGCTGTGAGCCCGCGTTCCAAAGTGCTCTGGTGTTAGCAGCCATTTTTACTTTGTCTACAATTTTGATAATGTTATCACTGAATAAGTTAACACATCTATTAACTATAGCCCTACCAGGATGCCACTTCTCAATAACTTGTTGCGTTTTCGACCTCATGGATTTCAGCAGTGCTAATCCTTCCAACTCCCACCTTCTCTAACCCCTGGAGAAATTTCGCCTGCGATTCCTTTATTCTGCTGCTCTTGCGTCGTCAACTCATTTAAGTGATATGAACGTACCAGGCGTTCGGTTTTCAGAGGCGGTGTTCGAGTCTGAGGCACAATTTGCTTTAAATTTCGTTCAGATTCCAAATTGTTAACATTTTAGGGCGTTCGAATTCCGAAGTACCACTGAACTGTAAAACACTTTTAGGTGGGTACGTGCAACTTTTCCTAATTTTATCTCTTCTGGGCACTCCAGTATCTTTTCACAGACACCGCATTTCCATGGTTACTAATTTTCTTTCATGTTTTGTTGTGAGTGACCACACGTCTAGCACTGGTAGCATAGGGTGGGAATGTATATGATTTGTATGAGTGTCTCTATGTGCTGATTCGGATTGCCTTGTGTTGTAAGAGAGGTGCTAGCTGTCCCAATACTTGGCCAGCTTTACTGCATCGAATGTCATTTGCTCCTCACTCGTTTTCTTCGCAGCGAGGCATGCTACTGAACGAAGCATGCCTGTCCTGATCTTCCTCAGCATGCTTTCTGAGGCAGTTACAATCACAATGTGTGTGTGTGTCGTGTTCTCTAACCAGCGGAAAGCTGCAGTGACCGCCTCCACCTCCATTCTTAAGCTGGATGTTGTAGTATCATATGCTAGGCTCTCCTGCACCAGACGTCGACAATTAACTTTTGCTATGAAACCCTAAGCACTTCTTTTTTTGCCTCTTGACACTGAACCGTCTGTGTAAATGATCAAATCTTCCGAGCGAGCATTATCTTGAATTAATTGCTGAATTTCCACCTCTGTGGCACCTGCTGGCCAGTCTCTGCATTCCTGGCTCAGCGTGATTATGACCCTACACAAGTCTGACTGTTCACGTGGCACTTTGACCCACTCCTCTCCTCGCCTAATGTTCTCAAGGATGCAAACCTGTCTGATTGCGTCTTCTGCCTGAGCCATCCATGACCTCCCTCTTATCAGCCGCTGACCCTTAACTGCACACAGAGCTTCGTGAAAAGAGTGGTCTGTGTCTGCAGCTACCCTGAGATATGACTTCACCTGCAGCACCTTGTGCCTACCTGCAACCGTCGGCAAACCAAGAATGTATCGCATACACACCACTGGGGTGTCTCTGGTGCAACCCAGAATGACCCGCATTGCCGTATTCTGTGTGCGCTCTAGTTTATCTCTATATACTGTAACAAATAACAAATAAATGCTCACTACACTGTATCTAATCACAATCCATATGTTTTGAACAAGATAAAGTTAGAATAGGATCAAGACCAACAACAACAGCATCAACAATCTATGAACCAATCTACATGCTATCAGGATAAAACGTTAACAATACAATTGCCGTTTAGAAAGCCGTTTAATATTGCTCGTTATTAAATATTTGTGGCAATTCATTTTCTAACTGATGTCTTCTTCTTCTTCTTCGCGTTCACCAGCTGTACACTGGCGGAAAGTTCTGGTTGCTCGTCCACTATTGAACTGCAGTCCTGCTCCAGAACCGGAGTGTTTTACAGATCTTATTCTCTTGAATACAGACTGTTGGTTCCTTGCCTCTCCTGCAGATGCACTCCGAATTCAGAGGAAGCTCCCCAATTAGTCGACTCTTACGACATGCTTTTGGGGAGGCAGTGGATCTATTCTTGTTTTCCCCACAATGGGGCGCCGGAATCCACACGGGGGCACAACTGATGTCTATTTTACTCCTGTCACCATCTTTTCAACATAGATCAAACCTGTTCTAGTATCTCCTTGTTTACTGCAACGTTTACTGATGACCTCCTCTTTCCATAGCTGATTATATTCATTTTCTTTTATCTGATGTTAAATGTCTGTTTGTTTTAGTATCCAGAAGCCATGAGTTGTTAACCCTTAGGCTCAGTATTATGGATATCGTAACCTTTCGGCCTTGATCCCATTGTAAATATCGTAAATCTGGGAGAAAATACAAAACAAACAAAGTAATGTACATTTCTTGTTTATCCTCAATAGACACTCACTCCATCTTACAGAAAACTATCACTGCTTGGTACGATATTCTCCATTTTGAAAATCCTACGTCTTGCAATATGTACCTAGTTGAAATACAAAAAAAGGGAGGAAGTAGCGAGGTTGAAAGTAAATCAGAACGAACAGCAAAAGTGCCAGTACAGCCATGATTTCGTCTGCCTTGCGGATTCTCAACGACGCCAGCTGCAGTATTATTAACACCAGCAAAAAGAAGAATATGAACATGATAGCATGGAAAGCCACCCAGATCGTAACAACAGGGGCGTCTAACTCTTGCTTGACGACCAGCATCTTATCGCGGCCGATTTGCTTCTTGTACGTGACCACACTGTTGGTCGGTGAAGCGGCGGGCTTATAGCGTCTAGGAGATGGGTAGATGTCTTGGCCACATTGACAGTGGTATAGTTCTCCAGAGTCGCCAGTGTCCGAGTTGATTATTTTAATAGTGGGCCCTTGAGGGCATCTCTGCAATAACAACAACAAAGTTGTTGTAATTCACTGTCATTCAGATATACACATAAGGTAATCGACTTATTGGGGTTATATATTCAGTGCAGTGAGTCTTAGTCTTAGTTTTAGTCTTAGTCTTATCTTAGTCGAGGTTTCAACATCACTGTTGTCTTGTTTCCCATATTTGCAGTGAGTATTACATTATCTGATATCGTAGGGTTCGCGTCTACTAAAATGCACACATTCACACACATACGTACGCACATACATACATACATACATACATACATACATACATACATACATACATACATACATACATACATACATACAGACAGACAGACAGACAGACAGACAGACAGACAGACAGACAGACAGACAGACAGACAGACAGACAGACAGACAGACAGACAGACAGACAGACAGACAGACAGACAGACAGACAGACAGACAGACAGACACCCACACACACATCCATACATCCATACATCCACCCACCCATCCATCCATCCATCCATCCATCCATCCATCCATCCATCCATCCATCCATCCATCCATCCATCCATCCATCCATCCATCCATCCATCCATCCATCCATCCATCCATCCATCCATCCATCCATCCATCCATCCATCCATCCATCCATCCATCCATCCATCCATCCATCCATCCATCCATCCATCCATCCATCCATCCATCCATCCACCCACCCACCCACCCACGCACGCACGCACGCACGCACACACACACATACATACATATATATATATATATATGTGTGTGTGTGTGTGTGTGTGTGTGTGTGTGTGTGTGTGCCTATCCCTCGGCCTTGTATTCACCAGCAGTTCATTGTCGGCTGATAGAGAATCCAGAGTTTTATTGTCTCTAATCTCCCATACAAAGCTTGCACAGAGCATGACCATAAAATGTTTTTTTCAGAAGATGACGCCTCTGCATTTCACCAATGAGTAGAACCAGAAAAAAATATGAATACGGAGTAAATTCTTCAGTTTAGAGAAAATAAAAATAATGTCCAGACAAAACTAGTTGTCACTCAAAAAATAACAATATGCGATAAAAAAAAAATTAAATGTCTCAAACTATTATTATCTAGGCTCCAAAATAAATGACAGTGGGACCTGTTCAAAAGAAGTCAAAAGAAGGATGGCCTTGGCAATATACAGACTAAACAGCATTAAAAGTATATGGTCAAGAGCAACAAGAAAATCAAAGTTAAAATTTTGAGAGCATGAATTTTCCCTTTAGCAAAATAGAAAATAAGAGGCTTCTGACCTGAAATGTTTTAGAAAGAATATCCGAATAACATAGGCAAGGAAGAGACCAAATACTGACCTTCTAAAAGATCTGAATGTCAAAGAAGTTTGAGTAATAAACAGCATCTTGTCCCGGACGATGAAATACTTTAGTAATATCAAGCGCCACGGCAGACTTGGAAAAAAATAGCAAACGGCATGATGCCAAGAAGGAGGGGCAGGGGTCGACCAGCACGAAGATGGGCCAAGCACCACGGCAGACGTGAAAAAAAAATAGCAAACGGCATGATGCCAAGAAGGAGGGGCAGGGGTCGACCAGCACGAAGATGGGCCAAGCGCCACGGCAGACTTGGAAAAAAATAGCAAACGGCATGATGCCAAGAAGGAGGGGCAGGGGTCTACCAGCACGAAGATGGGCACATGATATACGCGATTGCTTGAATATGAATGTGCACGAGGTGGGAGAGCTGGCGAGAGACGGGGTTTCTTTCAGGCAGCGTCGTGAGAGCAAAGGGCCTGCTACATAATGAGGATGATATCGTGTACAACATTTACTACAGATCTACCCACCCGACTGTGGTTTCTGCTATAGATATGTTGGGGGCTGTCACTGATTCGCGGTGCCGCTGACCGCCTGCTGTAGTCCATTGTTAAGACGTGTTCATTCTCAAAACGATCAGAACAGACACAAACATATTCCGTTATCACATAGTAAATATACTCTAAATGATAATATTCTAATGAGATGCCAAGAGTTCACTGTGCCCCTAATGGTAAGAGAAGACAACTATACTATGGAAACTTGTATATTGTTTTTGTTCTTTTACAGCCGAGGTCTTCCACAGTGGTTTTCTCTGATCGAACATGTGCAGGATGTTAAATTCCCGTTTACATTTTCCCATGTGCAATGCAAATTTGTGCCAGCTATGAGGCAAAAGAAAACTAAAAATAACTTCTATCTGCGACGTTTTACAACATAAGCAGAAGGACAAAAAAAAAAAAGAAAAAGAATTTATAAAGCAAAGAAGTTGGCATTATATTGGGCTCATAAGACACAGGTATTAACTTTCCTTCAGAATAAGCAAGGTATGTCGAGATATATATCATGATGCATGGACAACAAACAAATGGTCACTACAATGCTTCCCAGGCTTTGTGCTACGGAGAGGATGAACAGTCACACTCACCATCGTCATGGGCTGTGAGCTCTATGCCTCCTTATTGCGCAATATAACACTATCGTCTGGAAAGACGGAAATGTGCCAATCAAATCAATGTCAATAAGTAGAAGCAGAGAATCGCCAAAAGGGCACTGCCACTGGGAACAAAAAAAATGAATGAGGAAACGAGGAGACACAAGAGACACGCTAGAAAGAAGGTTGTTGAAAGAGGCCAGTGCTGGATTTAGTTATGTACTAAATAATCTACAGCCCACGGCCTGACAATCTGCAGGAACCACAAAAATTCCTTTTCTTTCCACAAATGCAATTACAAATGTAATAAATTTTGAATGTAAATTTTAATATACATTTGTAACTTAGAGGATACATAATATACAATTTAAAAAAAAAGTTATTTCGTAAAAAAAAAAAAAAAGCCCAAAAATTGTGAACGCATAAATATTTTAGTTTTTTTTTTTTTAGCTTAGCTAACTGAATTCCGTCAATGATACAGAAAGGATTGCACTAGAGAGAAAGGAATAGAGGACTAGACTGCGGGTCCTATACGAAGTATAAAGGCACAACAGAATGATAATGATGATGACGAGTGCAACATCTTTGTTTCTCCCTTGACGTTGATATAAAAACGTAAATGCATTTTATGCACTGATGGGTTCAAACATGATATAGAAGATCCTGGTAGGCTAATCCGGGGTGGGAAATGTCCACAGAAGATAGATGTGTCTGCCGAAAGGCACTAGATTCGCAGATATGCTGTAAACTGACACGCCGCAGTTGCATTCTTTGACGAACGAGAAAGAAGAACATAAGTGATAACGAACAATGTGGTGGATATTAATAAAGGACGAACTAGACAACAAAGGGGTTCAAATGTAAAGGCGGGAGAAAGGTTATTGATCATTATCTTGTATCGTGCTAGTAAGTATAGACTGTCAAAGCAATATCTTATTATGGAACTAGTAACGAAGTCGGGCCCAGCTACACACTAGCCGACCTTTCATTAATGCTTCCTCATGCTGGTCTACATTATAGGGGTGTCCCGGTCACCGGCTGGTAGTATCGCGTGTTGTATATTCCAGGATATGAGCGCTATTAACGGTCCCAAAACGTGCAGAACTTTCCCTAACCCCAAACACCCCCCCCCCCCTTTTCTACGTCCCATGATAAAGTGCAACCTTCGTCCCAAGAGAGAGTGCAGCCTAGGTCTCACGACTGTATGCAGGTACGTAGGCTGCACTCTATTGTGGGACTTAGGGGGGTTGGGGCTAGTTCCTGTTTTACATGTTTCGGGACGGTATCGACGGCCGGTGACAAAGCGCGACATCAGCGCAACTCAGGACAAGCCCTGCGACACGCGATTCATGAATGGTATGGAAAGTCCCTCTCTTTCTGGGGCCGAAAACATAAATAGGACACAGCGCAGAAAGCTTTGTGAACACATTAGTACACCAGGACACCCCTCCAAGTAGACCAGGCTGATGAATCACCAATGAAAGGTCAGCTAGTGTGTAGCCCGTCCAGAGTTTGTTACTTCGTCCCTTAGCATAACACACACTATAAGTGCAAAGCTTAACGGAGGGAATCGAACAGAAACACACAAATACAACCGCAAGTTTCCATTAGGCTCTATCAAAGTAACAGTAAAGGACCCTTTTCCAAGCCTTCAGGTTAGACCTATATTTTAAAGACCACACCTCACTTGATGGATGATGTGTTCAGCATCACACCGGCCGCCTTTACTTCCAATGACTCCACATGGTATCCACTCAAGGTAGGGTCGACCTGGAAGCCAAGGTCATATTTTAAAAACATTCGACCCTGTCAGGATCCGAATCCACGACCTTCCGATCCACAGGCGAGCCTCTTGTCGCTAGATCACGGCGGCTCGCAGTCTTTATCAAAGGCCTTACCAAATACACGACACACTAGCTTACACAGAAACGAATAAGAGAAAAATAGGGACAAGAAAAGCTAGTACAAAACGAAACATTCAAGTAGAAACTGAAAAAAAAGAGAACAGTATACATAGGAAACTAATAAAAATGGGTTGTCGTGCTGAGTTAAGAAGCAACGTCACATCACTCGGGGCATTACTATAAGCGTCCTGTCCTCATGTTCAGCAGCCAATGCAGAAATGAAATAAATGATAAAACAAAAATAAATGAAAACACGGTCTAACTTGCAGGTTGGTGCACAGTTGTCACTTAAGAAAGTAAGTAAATTTTACCCCACTAGGACATCACACAGAGCGATAAACACGCGGTGACCCAAAGTGCCACCATGCGGATAGGATCACTCGTGGAGATGTCCCGGAAACCGTATTCAACCGTTGGGTTATATTGCAGCTCCTTGCAACAGTCAGAGTGCGGCTTTAAAAAAACAACTAAAAATGTGCATCCCACAAAGGAGATGAAGAAATAATTGATAGATTCCCACTGAAACTCCTCGTGTCTGTTCAAGTGGATGGTGTTAAGGTGGCTGTAGAAGGTTCTAGAAGCTACCAGTCCTGTTTAGCTGCGGTTGAAATGCAGTTCAATAAAATACTCGTCTGCTTTGGCTTTTTTTTTTTAACGTCTATGTCAATGAATTTGCATTCACAATGAAAAGGTACTTAACTAACCGATCCATTCACCCTCCTAAGAATTTCAACATTAAGAATGATTGTTTCCCCTTGTTAAAAAACCGAATGTATGTTTCAAATGTTAGGATACGATTTCAGAAATATACCCACATAGCTAATTCTCCCCCTACACCCCAACAACACACACACGCGCGCGCACACACACTTTTACACACACACTCACACACAAACACACATACACAGAGGCATTATATCGGCCGCCCTATATTTACTTACTGGTATAAAATATTGAGACACAAATTGACATAGCCTATAATGTTAGTTTTGTAATGTTTTCCCTTGCCATTGTTATTATTCCTTACTTACGTCCTTTTCAGGACGTAATTTTTTCTTATTTGAAGCCCCACTCTGGCTTTTGCCAGGGGCCGCAATATAGGCAGGCCATCAATGTGGCCAATTGTCTGAATGCGGTTTCTGTGACCTCTCCACGGTGATCCTCATCCGCATGGTGGCACTTTGTGTCATCGGGTGTTTATCGCTTGTGTGATGTCCTGGTGCGGTGGAAAGTCAGTCAGTCTGTCATTGTTAAACTTACTCATCCCTGGCAGGATGCAATTTTTCGTTATTTTGAAGCGCTACCCTGGCTCTGTCGGCTCTGTGGCTAAGTCGATGCGAACGCTTCGCTTCGTAATGCCGGGATGCCAGGTTCGATCCCAGCTGCGGGCAAAGCGCCTTTCGTTAATTTCGACAGTGGTATCAAGAAAGCCGACCGTCCAGGAGATGGCAAACTACTGAACGTAAATTGCCTAGAGAAACCACACAACAGCCAGGGGCTGTTAGGGTTGGTTCTGCAACGTCCTGTAAAGGATACGCAACTAACTTTTAACCCTGGCTCTTGCCAGGGGCCGCAATATACCTCGGCTATTAATATGGCTGAACGCGGTTTCTGTTACCTCTTCACGGGGGATCCTCATCCACATGGTGGCACTTTGTGTCATTGCGTGTTTATCGCTTGTGTGATGTCCTAGTGGGGTAAAAGTGCTACTACTACTACTACTACTACTTGCCATGGAAGCTGACACAATTTTTACTATGTCAGTAACTGTGAAGCCCTTATTATCACCGCCCATATATGGAACGCAATTTTGTGTTATTTTAAGTCGACTGGGAGCTGGCCCTTCTGATGAGAAAGAGACCGATCTACATGTGTTGACCCGATCTGTGAAGTCATTCCTCTCAACTTTAAACTTGTATGTTTGCCTGTTGGCACAGTGGTCAGATATTTTAACACACAAACAGAACACCGTATACTTAATAGTTTCACCATATATTTTATATATTTCTTATCTTCTTCTATCCCATTCTTATTAGGTTTTTTAAAATATCCAAAAACGAGTTGTTAACCCAATGGCTCAGTACTATGGATTTTGCAACCCTTTGGCCTTGATTCCATAATTCATTCATTCATTCAGTAGCATGTCCCTCGCGGAACCTCGCTGCCATAACAACCCTCCGGAAAACCTTCCTATCATGAGCAAGATGTCCTGCGTCTGATACACCCATCTGGAGATCATCTGCCACATCCTGCACCCATCTTCTCCTTGGCCTTCCTCTTCCTCTCTTCTCAGGCATATACCCCTCCATTATTGTTCTCTCTAGACCTCCATGACGTTTCAAGTGACAAAATATTTCAATTTTCTTTGTTTTATTGTATGGATGCATTTGTTCTTTTCTTTACCCAAGATATTCTTAGAACCTGTCTGTAACATTTATATTCAAATGCATTTATGCGCTGTTCCGCTTGTTTAGTAAGTGTCCAGGTCTCACAGGCGTATGTTGCAATGGGAAAGATGCATGCTCTTAAAAATCTGACCTTTGTAATTCTA